AGTATAATCGATGACGTACAAAATTGAGTTAATTAGATTATGTGACAACTGATATTATTTCAGTTTAATAATTGAATTAAAAAAAATTAAACTCTTTGCATACAATTGTATACCCTGTTGGTATATTTATATATTATACTAGTATCATATGTTAGTTGGAACCTTTTTTGATTGTATTAGCTACATTTAATTGGTACACTGTTTGATTTTTCTTTAGTAATAGTAGAATAGCACAATATTTTGAACTTTTCTAATTTTAATTTATGCATATATATTACGTAGTCATTTTGATTTTTTCTTTATGCATTTGTTTTATATAATAGTATTATAGCACAATATCTTGAAATATATTAATATTAATATGTGGTACGCTATTTTTTTATTTTTCTCTTTATGCATGTGTATTATGTAATAATAGTATAGTCATATATAGTTGCGTGGAATTAATTAGTAGAACTGTATACCCTATTGGTATAATTATATGTCATATTGGTATCATATAGTAGTTGGAATATTTTTTGGTTGTTTAGCTACATTTTCAAGTGAATACTATTCTGAAATGATTATATGATCATATTTTGTTGTGTTGGATTTTCTTGTACCTATGGACATAGATTTTGTGTATTATGTAATGATTTTTATAGTTATATGCAGTTGTTGNACCGGCTCGTGTCATACAAATGATCATTGGCGGCGGTGATGATACAGTAATCAACCATGTGAAGTTCACCACTACATACAAACTCAGGCGAACAGTCGCTCACGAACGGTATGATGACCTCGAAGATAGTATCATCTTCGATAAGTCAGATACCCAAGGTTTGTCTTTCCCTCACTATTATGCTCTGGTTATAACTTTACGTATTGCGGATACCGATGTAAAAAGAATAATGGTGGATGACGGAAGCGGTGCGTGTATTATCCACCCACGAGTCCTCGCACAGATGAGACTCAGGGATAAGATAATACCGCGCTGCATAACACAACGGGTTTTAATAATGCAGTTTGAATGAAACCTCAGGAGAGATAATGTTGGCCCCGTTTCTGGCTGGAGGAGTCACTCTGGAAATGACTTTTTCACGTCATGGACCAGGAAACAACCTACAACGCTATCATAGGACGTCCATGGATACACGCCATGCGAGCCTTCCCTTCAAGTTTTCTACCATGTGATCAAATTTCCTACCCCATGGGGAATATTCAGCATCCGGGGCGAGCAATGTACCGCCCAAGAATGCTACCGCATCGCCCAGGATTGCGCGCATACCCAACAACTAAAGGGAGCGAGTGCGGAAGCATAGCAGTCAGCCGTGTCGGGAACCAAGCCCGACATACAAATAGAGGCCATCAAAGATCCGGATGTCGTAGAGGCCTGCAAGGCAACTGTGGAAGACCTCGACCCCGTTCAATTGGACAACACTAACAGCACGAAGAAAGCTTATATCGGGCACAAGCTCTCAGAACCAGGTAAGTTCCATGAATTCTTAACTAACAATGCTGATCTGTTTGCCTTCTCCCATTCAGATATGCCGGGAATCCCAAGGGATATCGCCACACATCGGCTAAATGTCGACCCTCTCTACCCGTCTGTGCGGCAAATGAGGAGAAAGTTCAACGCCGAAATCAACGATGCAGTTAGCGAAGAAGTCGATAAGCTACTCGCTAATGGTTCCGTCCGAGAATCAAAGTATCCTGAGTGGGTCGCCAATGTGGTCATGGTAAAAAAGAAAAACGGGAAATGGAGGATGTGTGTCGACTTCACCGACCTCAACAAAGCATGCCCAAAAGATTCCTTTCCACTACCACAGATCGACCAGCTCATCGACGCAACAGCGGGGCACGAACTATTAAGCTTCCTAGATGCCTATTTTGGCTACAACCGAATCCTAATGGCAGAAGAAGATCAAGAAAAGACCACCTTTATCACCCACCAGGGGACGTATTGCTACAGAGTTATGCCGTTCGGACTCAAGAACGCAGGGGCGACGTACCAAAGGTTGGTCACCAAAATGTTCAAAGAACAACTTGGAAAAACTATGGAGGTCTACATCGACGACACGTTAGTGAAGTCAAGAAAGAAGGAGGATCACATTGGTCATCTGAAGGAGGCCTTCGAAATATTGAGGCAATACAGAATGAAATTGAATCCAGAAAAATGTACCTTTGGCGTAGCCTCGGGTAAATTCCTCGGTTTTCTAGTATCAAAAAGGGGTATTGAGGTCAATCCAGACCAGATCAAGGCCATCGAAGGAATATTGGAGACGTTGACCAGCAAAAAGCAGGTACAGAAGTTGACGGGACGAATAGCCGCCCTATCGAGGTTCATCTCACGGTCGTCAGATAGGTGCCATAAATTATTCAATGTACTGAGGAAGGATCACGGATTACAGTGGAACTCAGAATGCGTCGATGCCCTAAAGAAATTAAAAGCATACCTATCCTCACCGCCACTACTGGTCAAGGCAGATCCAGGCGAATGCCTCCTGGTGTATCTAGCAGTCTCCGAAGTCGCGGTAAGTGCAGTTCTGGTCCGCGAAAGCAAAGGTACGCAGTCTCCGATCTATTATGTCAGCAAAACCCTAATTGATGCCGAAACGAGGTACCCCCACCTTGAGAAATTAGCTCTGGCATTAGTCATAGCTTCACGAAAGCTTAGACCATATTTTCAATGTCACCCCATAAAGGTGGTGACAACCTTCCCCCTCAGGGGCATCTTACACAAACCCGAACTATCGGGCAGGTTGGCCAAATGGGCCATAGAATTAAGCGAGCACGATATAACATATCAACTGTGAACTGCTATACAGTCGCAAGTGCTCACCGACTTCGTCGCCGATTTCAGTACGGAAATATTGCCTGAAGCAGAGTAGGAGGCGCTCCGTGCGTCATCCCCCTCCGACCTATGGGTCCTCCATACTGACGGTGCATCTAATGCGTTGGGCTCGGGACTGGGACTCGTCCTCGAAGTCCCTACAGGCGGAGTGATTCGCCAATCCATACGATGTCCCGAAATGACTAACATAAAGGGGCTAAAACAGACGCCACCTGATCACAGTTCGACAATATGTTATAGTCCCCAGGGACAACTATATGCCGATCAGAGCCCTCCATCCTAACCTCCACATGAGTGTGGCGCTCTAAAAATTCACGAACGTCTGCCGGGTCGATATCCGAATCCGAGCCATCGCCTTCGACACGTAGGCCCCCTCCGATGTTAGAAGATGCGCCACCCTCAGCGGAACGCACGAAACCACCTCCCGGGTATACCCCTTTCGTTTGAGGGGACCTCCCCGCCGCAATAGCATCGGCCATAAATGAGGGCACAGGTGCCGTCCGCGAAGCACCCATCTTGCTTCTACCAGCGTCCACGACCACCTCTTTCCCGAGCTCCACTGTCCTCCTTTTCCTCAGCAATGACTCGTCCCCATTAGAGGATTCGTCTGCGGGGTGATGGGCCGGCACGGAAGAGGTCTCTTCCCTCACGACCATCTCGTGAGAAGGATCCCCTATCTGTATCGGTTGAGCCCGGCCCTCCCAGACAGACTCACTCAGTGTAAACTGTATCCCTGCAGCAGCAACAGCCTGTCGAAATGCAGGGACTGGGGCCCTACACCTAGAAGCTCCCCAACCTGTTATCGATAAAATTTGTATCAATAAGCAACGACATACAATCAACAAGTGATATAAGGGCAAGCACTTACCAGACGAGACTCTCCGCCCGAAGCGTTTTACGAAAGCAGGCCAGTCTCGAGTCTCTACTGCATAGGGGAGCAGACGTGCTACCCAATCCCTTATACCTGCAATAGGGCGAGGTGGGCATCCCATAGCTGCAAACGAGAGGTAAACAAACACTAAGGTAAATGAAGAAGAAACAAAAAAAAAAGGGGGTAAAATAAGTGGTGACACTCACGTTTCTTATTCCATCGCTCTGGGAACCTAGCAGGGTCAGACACGATGTGGGCAGTTCTGACAAAGAAGTACTTATGCCAAAACTTACGAATCGCCCGGTCGTCGGTCCCAACTACCAGTCCTTTTGTCCCCCGGTGCCTCAAATGCACCATGGTACCCCTGTGAAAGCTGGGCGAAAATAAGTGCAAAAGGTGGTGAATGTAACCTCAAACCCCGCCAACTCCGCGTATTTTGTCAGCAGTAGGAGTGTTTTAAGCGTATACGGAGAAAGTTGAGCCGGGCAGATCTGGTAGAATCGATAGAATTCCTCCGCTAACGGAAGAAGGGGGAAGGAATGACCGATCACAAAAGGGTACTCATAAAAGGCACAGTACCCAGGTCTATGAGCTTCCACAAAATCCCTTCCTGCTGGAACAATATCAACGTGGGCGGGGATGTTATACTTTGCACGAAGAGCATCAATGTGAACTTGCTCCGTTTCGGAGAATACAGGGATAGGAGTAGGAGGAGGATCTTTGAGAAAATCACTTCGAGACATAGGGTGTCTCGGCAGCAACTCCTCAACGGTAGGGAAGCTATCCCCTTCCTCCGCCATCGTTCCCTCATCGGTAAAAGGGGGCGCCACGGATATCGGAGTGGCGTCAGAAAACCCTTCTCGAGATCGGTGTGATCTAGGCATCTCCCCGGGGATAATATGGTAAAGTGATAGAGAGGGCTAAGAACGAAAAAGGGAAGAAGAAGAAGCGAAGAAAACATTAAACACGGGAGAGGTATGAAAGAAGGGCAAGAGATGAAATGGCTAAGAATTTTTGAAAAAACAAACCCTCCCCTATTTATAGGATTGGGTAGCATCGGAATCAAAGGAAAAAGCAGCAGAGTAGCACCAGAATCGAGGCGAAAGACTGCATGATGGCACCGAAACCGAAGCGACAAGCCGTCAACCCCTGTCTCGAAAACACGCATAATGATGACGCATATGGAGATGACATCATTTCCCGATAAGACACACCACCAGAGTCTAATTAATCCCGTTGACCCCCCATTGTTGGCCAAGTCATAACGCTCCATGAAACCAAATTTCTCCACGAAGGATGGACGGTGTCCGCTTATCGAGGACGCGCCAAATTGCGACCTTGACAAGCGGAGGGACTAACTGTATGAGTCCAAATTTGGACGACCACAGCCATTTGACAAAGGCAATGGAAGATGAGATCTTCGTAAGCGGGACGTCCTACGAGGGACGACAGATAGCGGATAGAGGACGAATAGCTGTTGCAACAGTGTAGGCCAAATTAGGGGTATTTTGGAATATTCTCACGAATATTCCCTAGGGTATGTTCTCTAGGGTGCAGAAAGGGGTTAGCCCTTATATATAGTGGAGAAAATACCTAGTAGAGGGATCTTCTTGAGTTTTTTGGGCCTTTTCAGTTGAAAGCAAAACTTGTAAACTCTCTCCTATATTGAAGATTGTCTTTCTCACTATACAATTAACGCCTTTTTCATAAGATCAACAAATACTTTCCATCGTGTTCATTACTTGTGTCTTCTGTTCTAGAGCTTATTATGCTTAGCTAAGATTTATCCCTTCATTTTCCTTGATTGATTTGTTCAATAAAATTTCAATATCTTTTGAATCAAAATGTAACTCCGCTCCTGATTAAATATTTGCTATAGTCAGCTAAATTGCAGTGATAATGTTAATATAACTTAAATTCATAGAATAATATACACCGACAGGCTGAAATCAATCCTTTCTTAAGGTGCTAGTTCAAAAGTTTCCATAAGCTTACCAAAAGTATAGGGAAATCAAATATGAAGAGGATGATTAATTCTTGGATTAGGACAACGGATTTGAGGGTTATAGGTGTTTAACTAAGAACCCACCAAGAATAAGTGAAATTATTAGTCGTCTAAATATCTGAGTTTATATAAAGTAGTTAGCCATGCATGTATCAGGACGAGTTAGTAAACTGACGAGGAATCAATTTACTTTTTTTTTAAAAATCATTTTACTTCAATATTAATAATATCTGTTGCATGGGTCTTTTTTTACAAGCAAGGGGGAAGACAGAAGATGCGTTATCTAGGAGATAGAATAATTAAACAAGCATGGAAATCCGTCAGTTGAAGCATATAAAAATTGTTTAGAAGAATATATATAGAAGAAGTTTCCACTGTTTGTAATCTTATCATGTTGTCGCAGGTTATCTACCTTATTTTTAGATAATTAATTCTATATTTATTATGACCAATTATTTGTAAAAAAGAAATCTCGAAAAAGTATTAGAATTAATGTAAAAAAAGGCCAGTTTGGTGGCAGAAGTATTTTGCGTTTACTCAAGATTTAAAAGGTCGTCCACAAGAATATGTATATAGACAATCTACTCTGATATAAATATTAATGGTTAATTCTACTGATCGAACTCGAAACATATAGGTTACATAGACAACTTTACATGAATCTGATTTGGGTTATAGAGACTTCTAGTCGAGGAAAAGGCCAAGAAACCAAGGTCATCAAAAACATCATAAGAAGATGAGCATTGAGCAAGTATAATGAAGGCTATGAATGACACACCAAATATGACAAAAGAAAAGCACGCATAAATTTGTCTATTTTGACAGATATTGCTAATTGCCACCTCTTGCTTTGATTAACTTTTTCACTTATTTCTCTGTTCGTTCAGTCCAAGAAAGAGCACAACTTTCATGCTCAGCTGACTGTGTAAAATTAGGTGATGAGCAAGCAATGACAATCAAAGGTAGAAGACAAACTGAATATTTGCCTTTTTGTAAATCCAAATTGTGATTAACGACTTTGCCAGCTATCCCTAATGTTTATGTCATCTATTTCATCAACATATTATTCTACTGCATTTAATTTTTTTTAATAAAAAATACTAAGAAAGTCAACAGTACTGATTTTTAATTATCCTGACAAATAAAATCCTTCTTATGAAATGAGAATTCCTTCATGAAATATAAGGAAATATATGCAGACATATTGATGCACAATTTGTTTCAAATATATGATTTGTTAAAGGATAAGAAACATTTATTATTATTTTTTATTATTCACACTTAAGCTCAGATTAGTATAATAGTGATAATTAAGTAAGACATTTTTTTTTTAAAAAAAAAAAAATTAGACTACCACTCTTATAATAAAGGCTACTAAATATTTTTTTAAAGGGTGCACAAAATCTTAAAAGATACTATAATATGGACCGAAAGTATTATTGAGGGTCTTCCAAGTTTATAGTATGAAAAAATAACCAATTATAAACTATGACTACACAGTATTACTCTACTCTATAGACAGTGAATTAAAAAAATCAAAGGAATATGCTTTTAATAACATTTCTCAATAATCAAATCAGTGTACATGAATAAAAGAAACAGGTTTCAAAGTTACCTTGTTTTACAATTGATATAGTTGGAAAAGTTTTTCTCATTTTAACCTTTATATTAATATCATGTCAATTTTAAGGGATCCCTTAAAAAAAAAAAATCCTCTTTGGCACAATCCCACTAATATGATGGTGTTTTCAGAAATAGAAAAAAGAAAAATAGTAAACTATAAAAAGGAACTACAATAAATGCCCCACTTTACTTATAGTATATGCCTAAGTTGTGTAAGATAAAATAATTCCTAAATAAACAATTGATGTTCCTACACGTTGAAGTAAATTCCAAGACAAACAAAAAGAAGTTTTCCTTTTTCTTTAGCAAGCTAGACATGAAAAGATGCCTAGATATAGCAAAGGTTCTCAAATGTTAATGATGTTTAAATATTTTTTTCACATAATACATAAGATGCCTTCTTTACACGCTCCCAAAAGTGCAAAAAAGAAAAAATTGAGGATCTTTACACATTGCTTGTTGGATTAATTGGTTGTTTATTTTTTCTATTCGGTATACACAGATTATACATAATTACAGTAAGATCTATTTATAATAACCTCGTTATTTCGGCAATTTTTGAATGTTATAGTAAAGTGAAGTTATAGATAATATATATATAACATATACAGGTAAAATTGGTTTCAACGGAAACTTGGCTGTTATAGAAAAGTTTGATTGTACAGTCAGACCTCTCTATAACAGCATCCCTATATAACAACACTTCACTATAAAAGCCAAGCTTTTCGAAACCAAATTTCATGTTATGTTATAATATATGTTCTCTATAACAACACTCGCTATAACATCCCAAAATATTCGGAACAAACGAGGCTGTTACAGAGAGGTTTGACTGTATATAGATTTTGGCCGTCATTGGCGGATCTACATACACACTTATGGGTGTTTAAGCACCCATTACTTTTGATCATATTTAGTAATTTACATAGGTAATTATGCAAATATTTAGATAAATATTGAGTGAGCACCCACAACAAAACTCTTTTTTCCTCTTCTTTTGAAATTTTAATCGGCGAGCACCCATGACTTTAAAATTCTGGATCCGCCACCGCTGGGCGTTATAGAAAATGGTCATGTATAATATGTGTATAATTATATATAATCTATGTACACCGACTAAAAAAAATAAACACCGAATCTGACCGACTATTTTTTAATTTAAGTGGTTTGGTGGGCGGCTATTTAGGCTAATTCTTCAAAAACTTCTAAACCCAAAGTTAAGCCAACTATAACTAAGAAGAGATTTTGGAGATTACAAAGACAGAATTCAGAACCAAATCCCAACAAACTCACTGGTAAAAACAAAGCAAAAACAACTCCACTGCTACGAAACTCCTCTATGGTTTTTGTTATTTTTTAGTTGTTGACCTATCCATTCCTTCCAAAAAAAACAACTCTCCACAAAATTTCCAAACAACCATAGAAGAATGAGATTCCCTCATTAAAATAGAGGAACAAACATCAATATATATAGCTCATTTTCTTGATTCTGTCAACCATCTTCTTCACATCAAAAAATACCCAAAAAAAATGGAAGATTACAACTCCTCTATTCCAATGCAGAGAACAACCAAAATCATCAGAAAATCAATCTTTATTTTTCTGCAAAACTATCAATTCTTCACTACAACAGCAGTTTTCTTTGCCTTCCCTTTTGCTGCCTCATTTCTTTTACTACAATCATTCATCCCTTCTTCATCTTTCTTCCCAATAATCTATGAACGTTTGCATTTACTTTTTGATGCTGCAGGTTTCCCTTCTTCTTCTGAATTTTTCACCCTTTTAAATTCCAAGATTTCTCAAACCATTGCCATATCTTTTCTTGTTTTCCCTTTTACCATTTCATCTTTTCTTTTCAGTAAAGCTTCAGTAATTGAAGCTCTAAATTACTCAAAACCAACCCAAAATCCTTCATTTTTTTCTTCCTTTTTTCCCCTTCTTCTTACCCAGCTCTGTAACTCTTTACTCATCATTTCAGCAAATGCAACTTGTTTTACTGTCTTATTCTTTGGTTTCAATCTTGTTGATTATGGTTTTGGTCTTTCATCTCCAAGATTAATTCTTTTGTGTTCAGCAACTGGAGCTGTAATTTGTTCAATCATTCTTGCCAACACATTAATCATTTGTAACTTGGCTTTAGTAATATCAGGAACAGAAAAAATTGGAGGGTATATGGCAATTCTCAAATCTTGTATTTTAATCAGAGGAAGAACAGCTACAGCATTATCACTAGCTGTTCCTGTGAGTTTGGGTTTGGCTGCTGTTGAAGCTTTGTTTCAATACAGAATTGTGAGGGCTTATTATCAAGAAAAAACAGACCTTTTTTCTTTAGGTTTAGAAGGAATTTTCATTGCATATATGTATTCAGTTCTTTTGGTTCTTGATACCATAGTCAGCATTGTTTTCTACAGAAATTGTAAAACAGATGAAGTGAGAATTTTGCCATATCAAGTTGAGATTCAAGATAGAGATGAACATACAGTTATGAAGATAAAGACAGCAGATTCTGTTGTCTGATTTATTTTTTCTATTGGATAATAAAAAGGTCTGCTATTTGAGGAGTAAATATGGTTTGATCACAGGAAGAGATGAAGCAATTCTTGGGATTTTAAATGTATTTTTGTAATCTACAGAATATACATTGATGTAAGGTTTACAACCCCATATTCTCTTTTTATGTAATGTAGCAGCTTTTCTGTATACAGTTAGAAGAAAAAAACGTGAAATTCTGAAACCAATTTGATTAATGCAAAGGCTTATAGTCTAGTGTAACTTCTGGAATTGAAAAAGGAAGTTTTTCCAAGCCCAAACAAGATCAAAAGAATTGATCGCTTTCTACAATAACAAAATAGTTTTCTACAATAACAAAATAGTTATCTACTAGCTATGTTTTCTTTTTGTGATAATGTCGTAGCGTAGGACTCCAGGAATTTTAGAAGCTGAACATCCTCAAAAGATTCCTAAAGCTTTTAGCTTTGATCACTCGACACCGAGTGAAACGGTTCCTCGCTACTCATCTCAGAAAATTACGCTTCATAAGTAGGGTAAAAGCTCCTCTTCTTCTTCTTCTTCTTTTTTTTTTTTTTTTTTGCATATATATGAGTTGTTGAATTGTTTTGATATAACCGAGCATTCTTGCAATTTTGGAATCTCCTTATTAAAATTTTAGTTCTGCCAAATTTCACACGGTGTGAGTTCGATTCTCATTGTCTCCCTTCCGCTGATCATGTCCCTAATCCTTGATGTAAAGGATTTTTTTAAAAATAATTTTTTTTTTTACATTTTTTTGTAAAATTGAGATAGCTTTCGTTAGAGCAATGTTGAAGGTGATTGCTTGTATTGTACCTAAAGTTGGAGGAGGTTTCACTTTGCACAACGTAGCAGTCAAGCTATGTCTCTGGTCATATATACAAGGCATGTCTATACATTTGCACATATGCAAGTTAGTCAAAGGTTTTTCCTTTTCTTTTTCTTATTCTTATTTGGGGGGGGGGGGGGTAGGGGGGGGTTAGGAGTTGGCTAAGGTAGGACAAGACTTTCTTAACTTCTAAGAGAGTACTTAGCAAATTTGACCACGGACATCATTAACTAATTAATGCCAAGTGAGCAAAAACAAAGACCAAATGGTGAAGGATTTGCAGTTAATTAATAATCCTTGGACTATTTTATTTATTTAGTTTTGGGAGTATAAAGAACTTTTTCTTTTTCAGGTTGGGGAGTTTGAAGATCCTTACAGGTCTTTGGCAAACCAGACTAATTTATTGAGCTATTTTTTGACAACAAGACCATGATTACCACTTGGGTTAAGGCTTAATGGCATTCTAGGACAGGTTTGACCAACATGTAGTGTTATAATATATACCCATTATTATGGAATTCCTCCGTCTTTAATCAAATGTCCGAAGTTCAAGCCTTGAAAATAAAAAAATCTTTCTGTACAAAACGCTTTATCCCTCAGGGAACCTATTCGATATGAATTTAAATTAGTCGGATTAGTAGACGTTCAAATACCAAATGGTTAAACAAAAAAAAGAAATCTCGGTTGAACCAAAGTAAGATTCCTCTGTTAGATACTTTTAAGTTTAACTACTTCCATAGGAAAGAGATTATAGTTAGTCATTTGTGGGTAAAGACCTGCCTCTTCCGAATATCTTGGTTTAAGTACTCCCTCCCGTCCATAATAACTGATTAATTTATTTTTTTATTTTGGTCCAAAATAAGTGTTCATTTATATAATCAAGACAAAATTCAATTTGTTTTTCCCAAATTACCCTTATGTATGTATCCCTAAAAAGTCTTTTACTCCTCACATTAAATTATGCTACAACATTTAATTAAGGATAGTTTAGTGACACTAATTATTTTTGTCTATATTTTAGTATTTTCATAATGAGTGTGCGAAAAGCAAATTGGTCACGTATTGTGAACCGGAAGGAGTAATATATATGCTCGACACGTAGGGCATGTGGCCTATTTTGCTTGATTCATATTATCTCACGAAATTCAGCCATAAAGATCAAGTTAGTTAAGAATATAAAAACGGGGAACATTAAATGTTTTTTCCCTCACTGAAGAGAGAGTTGTTACTTGTTATTTGCTTCGTTTGGAACTATGCTTAATAAAGCTCCTTGTTACGTTAAAGGGGAAAGTGTATTTCTTCCAAACTTTTACTATGGAATTTAATCTAATCTATTATTTATTTACACTATTAAAAGAAGAATAAAAGTCAGTCACCTAAACCTTGTTACATATGAGGTCAACATTCCCCATAAAGCTCGTACACTTGTTGCTACCATAACTAAACCTCCTCCTAACTCCGCTCAACTTATGAAAATGCACCTCGTGAGCTCATGTTCTTGATTTGAGAGTTAATTTCACATTATGTCACAGGAATTTTATACGTAGTATCAACAGAGTCACAAAATTAGCTAGCGGTTATATTTTTTTGAAAAATTACATGTAATTAGGTAACTTTAATGATATAAAAAATAGCTTGATAACTTTACTGATCGATATATAATTCTGGGCGTAGCCCTTCCAATATAGTCGATCCATGTTTTGACGCTCCAAAATTTTCTCCATATCAAATGTCCGGAGCCCTTCCAATATAGTGGATCCATGTTTTAACGCTCCAAAATTTTCTCCATATCAAATGTCGCCGATGGGACGATTGCTCCAGATCAAAGGGGTCCATTTGACAAAATTCGTTCCCTCTTCGTCTTCGACACCCATTATTCTTACTAGTAAAACAATAACTAGTGATTTTCCATAGAGCCCCTATGTAAGGACGAGTAAAGAATAAAATAGGAAATGCTTTTCAAAGAACAACCATTAAAAACATCAAAGATGGACATCTTTCGTCTTCAATTCGCCTTTATGATATTGGAACCTGTATCCCTCCATCGACAAGGCATTTTTACTGACAATCAACCAGAGCCTTAAGCTTGCAATGGATCCCTTAAATTGGTTTAAACTCGTTAATCCAAGATCATTAAACCAAGTAGGTTAGGTGAAGCTAAGAAATCTTGGATTAGATAAGCCGCTTGAGCACAAAAAAAAAAATAATAACAAAAAAAAATGAAAAAAAAATTGTCAAGACCTCAGATAACCAAGAGGAATAAGGAAATGCAGACAACTTCTGCCATTAATGAATGAAGATATTAGAACATTTTCCAAAATTTGAATCTTGGAAAGAGGGGACGCTAATCCTACAGCCTGCATATTGATACATTAATTGCTAAATAATCTATTCCTATCTTCTCCTATGCTTTCTGTACAATCAATTTCGTGGTAGGTTCCCATCAAAAACTGATACAGCAGGGAACCCCTTTTTCTATGTTACAATGAAAAGAATCAACTTTGAATCTAGATACACTGCCTAGGCTTTATACAAGCTGATGTTACACTTTTAATTTACAGTTGACATGGCATCATGGCGGTCAATGGTGAACGTTGACATTGCGGCAACTGCATTTTTTGTGCCTAACACTGAGTCCATCATGTTTGCTCCATAATTGCATATCCAAATCCGCGGTCTTGATTGCAGCATCTTCTTAATCATGTAGCAAATCTCTCGAGGTGGATAGCAATCCTGCCAATAATAAAATCAAGGGGATTGATTTAGGGAGCAACAGGCTGCTTGCATCATCCAAGAGCTCCGACAATGATGTGTCCGGTTCAGCTTCCTATCTGCAAAGCATTTCACTGCACTTCCAGGGGTTCACAAGCCTCAATATTCTTTCTTGAACCCAAAGAATGCCACAGCACTTGTGTTAATTTTGGAGGCTTTTGGTCTGTCTTTGGAAGATATCCTCGGTTAACATGGTTAACCAACAGGCACGGATTGTTCGACACCCAATATTGACTGAAACAATGAAATCATTCGCATTCACTTGACACCCTTCTTTGTTAAATTAACTCCTTTGGCATTCTCCATTTCAGCCTCCTTCTGAGCTTTCTTCCTTTCTAATTCAGCCTGCTTCAAGTTTTCTTCGTGGGCTTTGCGGAACAGTCTCACAAAATTTAAGAGGGTTGCAGTGACTGTACAGATTGTCGAACAGATGCACCAAAAGAAAAAAGAGGAAAAGGTTAGCAGCCGAAAATCCAGAACCATCGAAGGCAAAAGAATACAAATGAGAACAGGGAAGCATGAAAGAGGCAAACAAAGGTCACAGATCCATCAAATGCATCTCATTGAAGTAAAATGCAGTAATATATACAAGTTCTTGAGTAATCATCAACATAAAACAAAAAAGAGGTGCTTCATGTTTATTCATATGCTGGAAATAAGTCTTAAACCACCAAATGATCAAGGCTGATTACTTCAAGCCTCCACATGATATATCAAAAAATTACCTGACATCGGAACAGTGAAAAATATAAAAAAATATTAATAGAGTACCGACATTTTTTGTTCACTATCAAAATTACAATTGGTGTAACTATTAAATAAAGATCAATCATAACAAAATGAAAGTTCAGTAAATTCCATACAGTAAGTACCAACTCGTCAGAGGTCAGGCAGGATAAACATTAATAGAGTACCGACATTTTTTGTTCACTATCAAAATTACAATTGGTGTAACTATTAAATCAAGATCAATCATAACAAAATGAAAGTTGAGTAAATTCCATACAGCAAGTACCAACTCGTCAGAGGTCAGGCAGGATACACTACTGGGTGTTATTGGCAGCTATTTATCACATTGAACCAAATGAAATTCTTACATCCCCACATACAAGATGCATAGCTTCATTGGATCATGTTCGATCAACCAATCTCATAAATTAGCATACTGATTAAAAACCCCAGCTCTAACAAAGAGCTAAATAAAGGCAGTCATATATTTCTATAAAATCATGGAGCAGTCCCTATGTCCAAGAGGAATAACGCTGGACCAACTTTAACACACTTAATCTTATCTTGTAGTTAGAAATGTAAATGTGAAGGACATTAATGAAACAAAGTATAGTTCAAGGGGGCAACTTTCATCCGCTCAATTTTTCCAGCACAGAGGCAAGGAAAGGATTAAAAATATATTGTACATACGTTACCTTGCTCAAACGGACATCGGGCAGGATCCTCGCCGAAATATAGTGCAATTGCATCAGCATTTCTGCCCTGTGCATCAGTTATGACAATTAAACATTATGTAGACATATAGGAAGATGACTCTGCAGTATGATATAACAAAGCGATGATAAAATGCAAAGGAAATTACCGCAACAGAATATAACTCCTTGACAGAACCAACCTCTACTTCAGCCACACCAACGAATTCCTTTAAGGTCTGATTTGCAGGACAAAAGAACAAAGTTGTAAGGACCAAAAGATTTTTTCTTTTTTCCACCTTTTCTTTGGGGAAGGGAGGGAGTGCACTAAGTTTTCTAATAATGATAATAGCATGCTCCAGAAACTTATACAGTACATTAAGAAAAAATAAAAACAAAACCATGTATACTGTTCCCTTAACCCTTTTGTTAAATGAATAAAAAAATAAAGGAAAGACACGAGACAAACAGTGAAACAAAGTCATCCAATTTCCAGAGTAATAGAAGAGATAAAAGAGGAATTCAGGCTCTCTTCATCAACAGGTACGTGGAATTTTACAGCGGCAGCTTTACGCCGTAATGAGGTTAAAATATATCTTGATTCACAATCTATCCATCAGATCAAGAAATAGTGAAATACTGAATGGAGATATTAAAACTCGGGGGAGAACATAAGATACAACAGTTTGATAAAAGACTAAATGGATATTTTTCATTAAATATTAAAATCTCACAAGACAATAGGAGGATGCTGTTCAAGCTAGAAGTAATAGCTTAACCTGATTAACAAATGAGTGCTCTACACATCCTAACACCATGAAGAATAGTTGCATACATAAACAAATAAAATTAAGACACAGTTAAAAGAAATATGACCGCCATTTTGATCAAAAAAGAAATACAACCACCATAATACCTTACAAAAAATTTCAGACACAGGGCCATCAGTCTCAGATGCCTCCAGTTCCTTTTTAACTTTTTCCAAACCCTTGATGATTGCTTGCATTTCTTCAGCCAAGGACTTCAATTGTATCTGCAAGGAGAAACGGATTTCTAACCAATTCTGATAAATTCAAGGAAATATCATCATAAAGAGATAAGACAGTAACCTTTGATGCAGCTTCCAGGCTTACAAGATCTACATGAAAGTTTAAAAGTGCTGGTGACTTGGCAGCAAGAACCTGAGAAAGAGAAAAATTACTAACACCACACTATCTGAGATGGTCATAACCGCACCTGAATTCAGGCAGACGGATTTAAGGAGGCCTTTATCAAATGGAATAGTATTCTCAGGTAGATGAACAAATAAGTAAAGAAAAAAGAAAAAACTTCTCGGTGACAGGAATGTCCAAACAACTAAAAAAAAGAGGCATCTCATACAAGAGAATAAAACTAAGAATAGTAGGAATGCAATGTTAAACCCTTCTTTACAAACAAAAGATAGTCTATAACCAATGTATAAGAGAAGCGGAGTAACCTTTTAAGTAGTGTGCCTTAATTTGAAAACTTTTGACAATATTGTGATACATAATCACTCTTGCACCAACTAATGCCTAGAACTATAGAGCTTCGGCAAGACACAGCGAACTATCAGATGATAGCCAAGGATCGTAAAGGTATAGTTTGAGGTTCATATTTCCAAAATATACATCTCAAGAAGAACTTCTATAGAAAGTTTGATCACACTTGAGCACTTTTTATTTGTTGGGTAAGGATCACCTTGAGCACTTACGTGCCGGAATACAGTGATCTCAGAATCGTTTTTTAGTTTACCCGATAATTTCATTCAGCAGAAAAGAGTTAAATTCATTTATTATCTGTTATCGCCTATTCATATCCTTAGATATCAAAACAAAAAGCAGAAATGGCGAAAAGTAAATGGATGGACCTGCACCTACTTGATAGAGAACACAGATACCTCAAACAGGCCACCATAACAAATTTATGTTTCTTAAATAAAAAGGCCAAATCAAATGTGCTCCTACTGAAGAAAAATGGACCACAGATAACCTGCTTCGGCACTTTGAATACACATTTCTTTCATTGGCTTCACACAGGGGAGCTACCTAAAGAGCACGCCTTTTCAGCATGGTAAGTTACTTCAGTGAATGATGCAATGCTGCTTTCATAATTATGAACCGATAAGGTATACATATGTGCAAATACCATTCATAATCCCTGATACAGAAGTCCCTATATCACATCATTGGTTTTATTACATCCAGGCTCCATAACAGGACGTACTTTTCATTTCTGGAAAGAAGATACCAAATCAAATGCAGACCGTGTCTGACAGAAAACTGGTGAGACACGTATCAAACCAAAAAGAGGTTGTCCTTTGAAAAGTTAGATTCATTTAACCCCTTGATATTCCTTGCGCCCAGACAGTAAACTACTTAACTCCGTTTGTTTCCAAGAGATGCCATTCCGTAAACTTATTACTACTAACTATGAATAGGTATATAGCTAGATATAAAATTTATCCTTTCTGGTCTTTTATGCGGTACCAAGTAAACTAAGGACAGACCACCAATGTGATACTTCATTCTTTCAGTCCCACATCTACCATGTAAAATACTTGAAACTAAAACAAAACATGCATGACATCATTTTCAACTATAGAACCTCCATAGCAAGCCTTAATAAAATGTATACACTCTGGCAAATCTATAACTACTGAGCTTGACCAGATAGGAAGACCACATATGCATCAAATTCATCAATCTTCTTGCTCCAGGTTTTTCACGCAGCATTTCTTACTAAGCGATTGGGTTAAAATGACAAAACATTTTCAACCATTGCTAAGAATATCTTGTAAGTCATCACAGCTTTTCAGACAATCTTTATGGTCCTCTGAAGATAATCTTCTTCCACAGTGCTTTTCAGATAGCAACCAGTGGATATGAAAATCAAAAGAAGCATGTTTTCATGAGGTGATATTGATGAAAAGCATGATCCAAGGGTACCATTTTCAAAGTATAGTAATTGGAAAGAAGACTGAAAGTGTTTAAACATGCCATTAGAGACTACAAAAATGAAACCGACGGTACATCCACACCTTACAAAGATAATGCATGAGTGTCATCTTGTTGTTAGTAGCACGTGTATCAGTGAGCTTCAAAAGACTGTCCAGCTTAAATCCAACGGCAGAACCTGAATTAAAGAAAGTACAACTTAGTTTGGAATTCTGTATTGAAAACTTCAAATTGCTGGACCACATACACTACGACATCCATAGTATGCGATGCGGTACTTAAGTTCCACCGGAACTATATTATATCTTTAAAAAGCTCCAGTTGGAATAAGAAACACAATAGATCCAAGAAGATGTGTTAGATGCTCCCTCCGTCCCAATTTATGTTGCAGTGCTTGACTGGGCACGGAGTTTAAGAAATAAATTAGAGTTTTTGAAACGTGTGGTCTAAAACAAATCATAGACATTTGTGCGGCAGGGGTAAAATAGGAAGTTAAAGTTAAATTGTTTCATAATAAGGAAGTATGACATTCTTTTTAAGATAGACTAAAAAGGGAAGTATGACACATAAATTACGTCAGAGGGAGTACAAAATAGTTGCAACAACTGAACTATCCATGTTAAGGCACAAAACATTTACTCGCTTTTAAGTAAAAATATATGCTAGTTTTCCAGATTTCCAAAAGGCGAAAATCATCTAGCTCAGGAGCAAAACTATTGAGCAAAATTTGTTAACACTCACTTCCATCAGATAAAACAATTTGCTAATCCTCTAATTGCCTTGGGACAGCTAAACAGGAGGTAACATAATCATATATCAATCAAGGGTCCATTTGGTCCCCAGTTTAGCATTTTTATTCATCATCCACATAAATACTAAATAGTCTAAGCAGAACATTTCTGTATATATTCAGTAACAGTAGTCCGCACATTGATGAATCTCTCAATGTATTTAAACTTTTCATTTGCAAAATTAACAAACTGTAACAACAATGAATGAATTTAATGACTTGCTTTAATAACTTGTATCCATGATAAGAAAACCACCACTTTAGGGTAAAAGCACGTAACCAACTCATTTCGAAATAGGAAACTCAGAATAAACAATTGAAACCTCTAGTTATGGTATTTCTCCTTGTTTATCTAGTCGGGCAATCGTGTACTTAATTTATAAATTTGAAAAGCTGCAAGCTCCCAATGGCAGCAATTGAGTTAGTCATACATGATATTCAAACTTTCCAGCATTAGTTCATATTAAGAAAGCTGAGATTACGAAGAACTCAAGAGGAATGGAGAAATTCCAGCTGCAGAAAGTCTTACCTCTAGCAGTTCCCTGGTTCAATGTATTCCCCAAATACAATATTTTCTTCAGTATTTCCTTCAATTTGAGAGAATATCGGACCTGCTACAAGCACTGAGTTATACTAAGATAAATAGGAAAAGCAAAGAAGAGAAATACAGAACCTAGAAAAGTACCTCTTCGCAAGCAGAATTCACAGTGTTTAAGCTTTTTTTGAAGTCCTTAACCTGAGATAAAGCTAAAATCTCAGATCATACTGATGATACTTATTTCAAAAGATTACAAGATGCAAACAAACCTGAGAGTTGAACTGGATCTTGAAGAGAAAAACTCTTAGTTTTGACTCTACTCGAGGCACCTTCATCAGCTCCAGAAAAAACTGAAAGACAACCAATATCAGACTTACCACCGATGCATTGGGATTCAGAAATATGGTTTCATATTACCCTGAAAATCAGTTCTTTCAAGAGCCAGCAAGGCAGGGAAAAGACACCATAGTTACCAGAATTTTCTGAAATTTTCTAATGGAACTTGCAAATCTATCATCAACCAAACCAACAGCACTCAAAAACATTCTACAGCTAGACGACAATAATATAACAGGGTACAAGTCATTATCATGAATATCTTGCCAGCCTCTCAAATTAGGTATCTGAGACACTGAATATCAAAAATGCCATCACTTCTCACCCTGGAATAGTACAGGCTATCGTGATAATCCGGATAGAAGCCAAATATAGCTTGTGTTTCATTTTGTTTGGTATGTTTCACAAATTCTGGTCCTTGTGGTGGTTCTTTTACATACCAGACAGAAAAACACCTATTTGTAATTAAATATTAAAAAAAGCATAACATAAAGTGGCACAGTGATAAACAGGTGATAATCGACAGAGAGGTACAGGGTTGAGACTAAGTAAAAGCAATTTTGTTCCTTCTTTCTTCTCCTTTTTCTTCAACATTGTTTAGAGACCTTTCTTTTGTTCTTCACATGGTCGAGGATGTTGCTAAATTTTTCCAGATCAGCCAATCCAATTGTGCTTTCTTCCTTAGTTCTTTCCCTTCTTATCCAACTACTCATAATCCCGCAAACCAATTACATCAATGCTGTCAGACATTTTCTCATCTTACATCCCCCATCCACCTCTTTATCAACATTGACATGCTCCTCTATTCTCCCTTCTATTCCTCTTCCCCCCACCCCCCACCCCCCAAGTCTTCCAGACACTGGTGAAGATATTATTTTCGGGCACAGACAAGAAACAGCAGCACATTTTGAGGCCAACCGCTAGAACCAATAACAGCTAAGATTCAAATTACATTTGACAGGATAAAATGTTCAGATTTTACAATCAGAAAATTGGAATTTCCTATCATCTATTTTCTGAATTTAAAATTCAGCTGTGAATTCTTTTGAACAGAATCTGGTACAAGTGTTTCAGCAAGTTGAAGCTAAAAATGTAAACGTCAAGTCAAATTGAGGGAAAGGTTTTGCGTTACTTGTTTATTTATAGCTCAGACAAAATTCGTTAAACTGGAATTCAGTTGCCACACTATATGGGTGAGAAGTGACCATACCAGTTGACTTTTTTTTGGGTGGGGTGGGGGGTGGGGGTGGGTCAACACCCTCAAAGGACACAAGATATTCAATCTTCCACCCTGGTTCACCAATCTTTCTCCTAAAATCTGGAAGAGCCAGATCTTTCCTCACTCAGCATTAATTCATTCCTCATCTTGAACATTGCACTATTAAAGACAGTCTCACATGCAATCAACAATATCTACTTCCATGCTTTCTTTATCAAATAGCAGAAGATGGTGAACCCCAACTTCAGTAATTAGTAATTACTAAATCATATACCAAAGCCAATTTGCAAATAGGTCTACCAAGGACAATTCTGCAGTTAAAAAATTCTTAATTTTTTGGATTAGGTATTCTGCAGCTAAACATTGTGAAGGAAGCGTATTTGTCCTCTTATGCTTTTCTTACCCACTCCAGTTCCTCTTCAGCCAAAACAGAAGCAGAAGGGATGTTTGCATTTATTGATGCTGGTTAATGGTAAAAGAAGCCTTTTGTTAGTCAGAGTGCACCACTTTAAATTGTAACACAACGGCAGTTACCTTGGGTAACCTAAAATAAGACTTATGTAGTAATGCTACACCATTTAAGGTCCATGCATCAGCTAAATACTCACATGCACTATTGGGCATCAATTTTTAATTGTGAAACACAGCTTCTGGAAAATAATCTGATATTTTCCCAGGTTTTTCACTACAACAAAATACATATGGCAACATATCATCGTAAAGAGAAAATGGAACTTGCAAATGAGGATTATCTAACAAGAAATAGAACTACGATGTCGTGGGACTGGGGAGACAACAAGATAATATGATTAGCTAACCTGTTCACACTTTCCCAGGAGCTCTCTGTCACCGGTGTAATTCTGAGCAGTTGTAATAGCAAATATTCAGAAGAAATAAGAGTGGAAAGATCAATTAATAGAGACAGGAGAAAGAGGAACATGAAAACAAAGTTGCAGCCACTAGAATAGCTGCAGATTGCATAAGCTCACCTTGAGAAGTTCCATCTCATCCTTTGTAGGACAAAACTTGATAAGATTCTCCACCTGATCAGCATCTAAAATTGACTCATCCATTGCGAGCGCAGCTGCCTACAGACCAAAACCAACAACCTCACTTCATTTTTTTGATAAGGTAATGATAGGCAAACCAACAACCATACTTTAATGGGTGAGCCGATAGCAAGCAAGCATGAGAACCTATAGAACATCAAGCAAACTAGCAAGATTATGTAGAATAAAGATATCGCTTAGGTCAACCAAATATGGTACAATAAGAAATAGCTGCTAGATCGACCAAATATGGCCCAGTAACTATCCACAAGGAACACCATATGGAAAAAAATTCCTTATTCATACTTCTGCAGTCATTCTCACCCTAACTTCAGGTTCTACAAACCTTCGGCTTACCCAGACAAAGAACAGGCTCTAACCTGCAAATTTCAATATTGTTTATGATCTGCTAAACAGAGCCAAAAGAGAAAGCAGAAAAATGCAGGTAGCCTAACAGCTGAAAGGAAAGTATCACAAGGCCTAAGCACCTTTCCTTGTGCCCTGGTAACACTACAAAGCATCTCAGTTAACAATCTGTAGCTGAGGATTCCCAACAGCATTAGAAATTCTTTTTTTTTTTCTTGGGATTGAAACAGCACCAAAACTTCTCCTTGTCCAACTTCCATTGAGAAAAGAAAAAATAAAAAAGACAAGCCTCTTTGAGAAGAAAAGCAAAGGAGAAAGGAAGATTGAAGAATAGAACCAAAACTCACCATCATGTCAGGCAGTGGCATTTTCACCTTTGTGAGCATAATTTCAGTATTATTCGCCCTCCTTAAGTCAACCTACCAAACAAAAAAGAAAAGAAAAGAATTACTTAAAAGGAGAACATTAGTAAACCTGCATATAACAAGGAAGAAATCCTTCAACCATCAAAACCCAATACGCAGGTAAAGCAACTACAAGCAATCATCTAGCAGGTATCAAGGCACAGGTAAAAAGAAACATGAAATGAACGGGCAAGTAGAAGCCAGAAAGACCACAAGAACAGAGAATTGGGTCCGTATTACTCAGAACTCAGATTGTTTACAAATGGCCTACTAGAAGCAGGATATTATATCACATTGATTACCAGGTGAACTCTATCAGGTTTTGATCCAACAGACTTCCTTCGGCCTCCAGATTTGCCACCCGCATTATCTGACTTGGGGACATTAGCAGAGAAAAGAGTCTCAAGTTCTGAAAAATCAAATTCTGGTGACCTGGATTTGAAGCAAAAATATTAGTAATTTAAGACTCAAGTACAAGCAATGTCAAACTTCAAAAAGCACGGAACATACAATTGAGGCTCTCCGTTTCTCTGCAGTTCATCCCATAAGCTTCCTTGCAGTGCCCTAGTTACCTTGCTCCAATGCAAAGGCTTTAAGTTAGATCTTCGAGGAGCTACACCACCGGCTGTGCGTGAAAATCCCTGTGTTCTCCCGGGAGGAAGGCCTCTGCCAACTGCCCCAGGTCCTTTAGCGCCAAATGGTGGTGGTGGGGGAGGTCCACCACCTGGAGGTCTTGGAGCTCCCGGAGGAGGAGGTGGACCCGGTGCGCGTCCTCCCGGAGGGGGTGGGGGAGGTGGACCAGGTGCGCGTCCTCCTGGAGGGGGTGGGGGAGGTGGACCAGGTGCCCGACCTCCGGGAGGAGGTGGAGGAGGTGGCGCTCCCCGTATTGGAGGAGGAGGTGGAGGAGGGCCAGCGCCAGGAGGAGGTGGAGGTGCTGGAGGCCCTCGTGCTCCAGGAGGTGGAGGTGGAGGTGGAGGGCCACCTCCCGGAGGAGGTGGAGGAGGTGGAGGCCCCCTCATAGGAGGAGGTGGAGGAGGTGGAGGTCCCCGCATAGGAGGAGGGGGAGGAGGTGGAGGCCCCCATGAAGGAGGAGGTGGAGCTCCAGGCAATGGAGGAGGTGGTGGGGGTACAGAGCCACGCAAAGGAGGCGGTGGCGGTGGCGGTGGTGTTGGTGCTCTAGAGAAAGGAGGAGGGGGTGGAGGAGGTGGAGATGGTGCAAATGGAGCGTTATATAAAGGAGGCGGAGGAGGGGGAGGAGGAGCATTTCTGGAAGGAGGTGGGGGTGGTGGAGGAGGAGCATTTCGCAAAGGTGGTGGGGGTGGTGGAGGTGGAGCAAATCGTGAGGAATGTAGAGATGGTGGTGGTGGAGGGGGAGGTGGTGCTGAAGAGCCAAGTAGAGGAGGAGGTGGTGGTGGGGGCGGAGGAGGAGGAGGAGAATAGGCAGCACACATAGGAGGTGGAGGTGGAGGGGGAGGAGGTGGTGGTGATGGTGTGGAAACCCCAAAAGCAGCCAATCTTGGTACAGTAGATGCATATATAGGTGGAGGTGGAGGAGGTGGAGGAGGTGGAGGCGGGAACGAACTAGATACTACTTCTGAGGAAGTTCCATACCCTCCACTTGACCAAAGGGGTGGTGGTGGGGGTGGCAAGAAGACCCTACCAACATTTAATACACTGGATGATGTGGGTGGAGGTGGAGGTGGAGGAGGAGGAGGTGGTGGTGGTGGTGGGATAGGAGAAAAGGCACCCATCGGAGTCATCCTCAAGCTAGTCGATGGCGGAGGTGGAGGGGGTGGGGGAGGTGGAGGAGGAGGTGAAAAAGACTGGATATTACTTGAAAGAGACAGAGATGGCGTGTTCAGAGGTGGCGGGGGAGGCACGGTCGGAGCTGGTGGAGAATTGGAGGCTGGCTGAGTAAAAGAAGCTGTCAAAATATTGCTTTCCTGCAGAGACAAAAGTGGAGTTGTAGAAGCTGATGATGAATTAGTTCCTGCTACTTCAGCATCAGCCGTTTCATGAGATGAAGTGCTCGGCGAACGAGAAGATGGATGAAGCTGCAGGGCCTGCCTGTCAGCTAATTCAGGAGCAGAGATTGTAGCAGGACATGAGGAGTCTTTACCTGGAAGACAACCTGCTTCAGCAGAAACTATAGCTTCTGAAGAAGCTCGAGGAGATGGTGACTTTGATTTAACCCCAGATTGAGAATCCTTGGTGAGAGCAAGCACAGGAGGAGCACTGTTATACCTTGATGGTGGATATGCTACATGCATTGAATTAGTGTAAGAACCTTTGTTAGGCGGGATCCACCGCGACACTGCATTTGGCTTTGCCTGTCGTAAAACAGTGCCCTGGGATTCCTGCTGTTTCGATTTATTTTTTGGACCAACGCCATCAGCAGAAGGTTTTGAGTTGCAGAATGATTGTTTCTTTAGAGATGAGACTGTCTTATCACTTTTTTGTTTATTAATATCAGCACTCATCTTCTGTTGTACACCTTCCCTCTCCAACTGCTTCTGTTTCAGAGTGTCTTCCTTATCTTGCTTTAGCTCCCCATCCTCTGATGGGACACGATCTCCAGACATTAGCAGTTCTGATTCCATCTTGCTAGAAACATTGGAAACTACAGCCTTGGAGGCTATAGAATTGTTTCTACCTCCTAAAATGTTGGTTTCTGAGGCAGACTCTCCTTCTTGCTTGTGATTTACTTCGTCTGATGCACAATCTTGAAATGCATGATGTTCCACTTCCTCTTTCCAGATTATTTCGATACTATCATCATCCTCCAAACTTTCCTTAACAATGTGGGCTCCAGATTCCCCCCTTCCATCCTGTCCATCAACAGCATTGCTGAATATCTCTTCGACTTCAAAAAACTCCTCAGGTGAAGCACCTTCAGTCCCATTCTCCTCCTCACTTGGCACTTCTTCAGTGGATGGAACAGCATCAGGATCCGAAAAGAGCACCTGGTATATATATGAGTATGCTTCAGCTCTGACAATTTCATGGTAAACATTAAAGAGGGGAAATAAGATCCAAAGTCAGAGAAAAAAATACCAGACCTCTGCTTTGAACCCTCTAGGAAATTGGTCTTTCGCATCCCACAGGACATCAACTTCATCACGCATTAACATCAAAACATTTGAGCGAATAAATGTGGTGTGGAACATGACCCTGAACATCATTTCTTCCCTTACTAGGTCATCTTCCAAATGGACACACTCGAGAACAACATCTCCTTGGACACGACAACGGATGTCTATTTTCACCAGTGAACACTCTTCCTGCAGTGAGGAGTTAGCAGATAACTTCAGATTTCAGCTAACTTCTTCATAAAAAGTCCCACCATTTTAAAGCTGGGGATTACCTGTCGGTAGAAGCGAGCATGTTTTTTTGTCTTTGAAGTTGAAAAGAGTAGCTTAGAGCTCCTATTAGAGGTTGTTGAAGCAGGGTCCTGTCCATAAACACGAACTACTGGTCGGCAGCCTCTCCCACCATCAAATAGAGGAGGGAATCTAAGTATGACGCAATCTAAAGAAAAAGGTGTATCGGATGGCAGCCATTCCGAGCCAAAATTCTTTCTGGAGATGTACTGGAGATATCTAAGCTGAGATGGCTGCGGATTCAGAGGTGACAAAAGATGGAGAAGCTCCCTAGGAGCTTGCTTGTACACCATTTCGAGAGTCTTATGCTCACCAGTGTACTGTTTTCTGTACAAAAGAAGGCCAGCAAGCATAAAAGCAAGTACAGGCCAGCCTCCCCTCTCACAGTGCATTAACAGGACGTTTTGCTGGCCCTCAAGTGAAAGCCAGCTCTCACTCGAGCGCAAGAAGTGGTGAATCATCTCCAGAGGCAAAAGTGGACACCCTTCATATTGCCGAGGATAATCCATCACAGTCATATCATACTGGGACAATATGTCAGATATTTGGCTCCTCCTATCACCTTCTCTAAAGTTAAAAACCATGAAAGAAGAATCTGCATAGTGGTCCTGCAGCTGAGCCACAATCCCTCCCATATATGTCTTGTATTCATCTTCATCCAACACGTCCGTGGAGAAGCAACAATCAAACACTGCAAGTACGGAGTACAAACAAAAAGAAGACAAAGCGTCAATAATTACAGTATCAACCGGAAGAAGCTACTGCTCTGACATACCGCCAGTAGTACGGTCCGTGAAGCACAATAGCCGCCCAACTTAGAAAAATAATATACTCACTTCACCTTCTAAGCTAAATTAGGCTAAGAGCAAGGTGAGAAACTAAAATGTAGGGTACTAGGTTTAGACATTTTTCACAGGGGAGTTGCACTTCCTCAACTCTAGGACTTCAACTTACATTGTATCAGCTGTAATTACAAATGTAGCTCATAAGTGACTCAGTAATTGCAGAGAAATGTCAAAATGGTAATATGCTCGACCAAAGTAAGTCCAAGTAAAATGTAGAAACAAGTAGCAACTTGAAGTTTTTTTAACACAGTACATAAGCTCAAAAACAGAAGGAAGCACAAAATTACAGAATTTTGGGCGGAGAAAAGGAGGAGCTTACCGTAGACCCGCTCAGAAATCTCAAGAAGCCGATCCGGCGGCTTCCTATAGAAGAAGCGTCTGAACAGCGCCATCTAATGGCGCTGTTTCTCCCCCGATCCGATCCAAACCCCCCAATTTGATATACCTCCACTCTTCAGTCCAGAATACCCAAATTGATACCTACAACGGATCTCTATAAAATTCCCAATTCAACAGCACAATTGATCTTACAGCGGTATTAGTTTAACGCAGTTCAAATAAAATTCACTTAATTAAGTACAAGAGTAACCAGAATGCAAATACAGCTGGGTCTCTTTAGCTCAAAGCAATTTGAAATGAGAAAGACCAGAATTCTCTAGAAAACTCCAAGATTTAGAGTAGAATATATGAGCAGTAGATGAAGTGAAATGAAGGTGAAAATGAGTATGCAAGTTTAGGGTTGAGAGAGGTAAAACGAAAAATCAGAAGATTTGACGGGATTAGATGAGAATGCGGGATATGATCGTTGCCATTGTTTTTAGGAAAGTCACATGGAGAGAGAAAAAAAGTGAGGGGTGGGCGGGTGGGGGAGAAAGAAACGTAGTGGACTGAAAAGTTAGAGACTAGTCGTAAACATACAGGAACTGTTTACTCGGACCCGACCATTACTTGTGACCCGAACTTGAAACTGGTTTCGACTTTCGATCGTTGTTGTTCGTTGTCCGAAGCAGTACACGTGGCACGTATGGACACACAAATGCCGACGCAGAATGAGAGAGATAAGGATTTGGCGCGTAGGAGTTCCGACAAAAGCCAATTTTAACTCACATGCGTCACAAAAAGTCCAAAGCACCGACCCGACTGAATCGGGTCTCTTTTTCTCTTTGTCTGAATTTGGGTTATTCTTTTCCTTGTGATTTTTTTTTTTTTATTATAGGCTCTCTTCTTCAAATTCAAAATCTTGGACAAACGGCTCGGACTTTATTTTATTAAAAATATGAAAGGTTATTTTATGGAATAATTTCAAATCTTCGTTAAGGATCCTTGTGATTTGAAATATTATACTTAGATTTTTTCTTTTTCTTTTTCTTTTTCTTTTCTTTTTTGTAATGAAGCTGGCTCAAAAACAAATTTACTATATATTGCAATTATATCCCTTTTGTAACTTTAATTATTGTGACAGTCACTTGAAATTTCAGAGTTGATTTAGATTTTAGAACGACAAATATAGGTACTGACAAAAAAAAAACATTTGATAATTTGTGTATTAATCAGTAATTATCCTTAATCTAAATTAGATATTATAGTCATAACAAAATTAAATAGTTGAAATTCAAAACCTATTGACCTTGTAAGCCCACTTTTCAATTAGTTGTGGTACGATATAGTTATTTGTTAGGTGTTTATTATGGTTTATTTCTTCTTTGGTTATATAATAAACTAACGTGGTAGTTTAATAAGTTTTGTATTCTTACTGTTTTGTTACAATAAGTTTGTTTGCTCAAAAAATGTTACACATCTTACGAGTACAAAACAATATAAATAAATTCCGGGATAATCATAGCAAATCATAATAATCCGTTAGACCAAATGAAAGAAACGAAAATAAGAACTCAGAATTAGGGGGAGACACATTCGAAACCTTTGTTGATAATATTTGTTTGGTCTGCCTCTCCATGAAGAGGTTCAGAGCCTTACCATGGTGTTTTCTCTTCCCATAAGAGGGATATATTTTATCGTTTCTCTCTCTTCTCACTAGTGGTGAAGAAGCAGCCCCCCCTTCTAGGGTCCCTTCTCTTGGTATTTATAGCTGTGGGCTTCGTGAGCTGTCCATCAGTGGCCGTGACCACGTTGAGGTCTCGCCTTTATAGTGGTGGATAGGGCGGGGCCTTTGTTGACCGCCACCAGCTTCTCGGCCTATCCACCACTATAAAGGCGAGACCTCAACGTGGTCACGGCCACTGATGGACAGCTCACGAAGCCCACAGCTATAAATACCAAGAGAAGGGACCCTAGAAGGGGAGCTGCTTCTTCACCACTAGTGAGAAGAGAGATAAACGATAAAATATATCCCTCTTATGGGAAGAGAAAACACCATGGTAAGGCTCTGAACCTATTCATGGAGAGGCAGACCAAACAAATATTATCAATAAAGGTTTCGAATGTTTCTCCCCCTAATTCTGAGTTCTTATTTTCGTTTCTTTCATTTGGTCCAACGGATTATTACGATTTGCTATGATTATCGCGGGATTTATTTATATTGTTTTGTACTCGTAAGATGTGTAACATTTTTTGAGCAAACAAAGTTATATATAAAACATATGACAAAAGCTATAATGAGTTAAAATAACCTGCAAAAGTAAAATAAACTTAGGTCATGTGACACGTCGTACAAATATTACAATTGAACTCGAATAATTTAATTTTGTATAATTTAATTAAGTTGACAAAATAATAATTACCAAGAGAATTTGAAAATATAATGTAATAATAATATTACAAACATATTTCAACAATGACTAACTTGACATAAAATTGTTTGATTCAAAAAATATTTGAACCTTTTTGAACAAATCAATCAAAGAGAATGAAGAGGTAAATCTTAGTCAAGACTAATAACCTCCAGATCTATAAACGAATCGGAAAATAATGCATAAAATGGAATAGGGGTGATCGATCTCATTGATGTTTTCCATTTCTTCATTCATTTAATCGATGCAGATCACTGCTTTCGTCTTACATGGGAAGACTCCTCTTTATAAGAAGATTACAAATGAGAAATAAGAGAGAGAAAAAAAAACTTTTCTTGAGAGACTCCTCCCCTATATATAGTTATGGAATTCTCACTATGGATCAATACAAATTCGCACGACGTCCGCTTTCGTCATTCGCTGAGTGTCGTTCTTTGTCACGACGGGCATTATGAGTGCGGGGTTTTGGAGCAAACCATGTCGTCCTTCACTATCTTGTTGCTTGGACGGGATCTTGGTCAGGCCGACTGCAGCGATCAGATTTTGACCAATACAGTTAGTCCCTCCGTCTACCGGGGTCGCCTCTTGTCGGGCCTGGTAGGCGGATTTACGATTGTTACATATCGAAGGGAAATCTGATCACCTACCCCTTGGGTATGGTCTTTAGATTCTAGCAATGTGACGGCGTCTTTTCGATATCCTCGAACCATTTCGGTCGTTCCGGAACCTGAACATCGTTTGTCTTGAAGCGTTGTTTACGGTTACCTGCCATTATGACACACGTTCCTAGGGGGTTAAACCGTTTTATGCCCTATCAACTTCAATTGACGACTCTTGGATTTCGTGCTCGGAAAATTTATGTCTCTTATAAATAGGACTGCACCATTCGATTTGACACATGCTTAGCCTTTGCTTAAGAAAACTTTGCGAATCCTCTTTCCTCCCGATACTTCAGATTTTTGATTTCCTTTAGTTGGCCAGGAGTTTTCGTCTTTCCTTTTCTTTATCCTCTTGCTTTATCGAATTGATTCGAATGGTTGGCGATTCTTCTCGCGATGACCTTTCTGCCACAACTCCGGCACCGGAAAATGATGTTCTGGCCACTGGAGGAGCAGAAGTGGTGGAGGATGAGGAGGCTCCATCGGTGGCTTAAATCTTGCCTCGCCCCGGAAAAGCGTGGAGCGATTTTCACAGCCCCGCCGGGGAGGAGCCGGAACCTGCTTCGTCTGTCATAACTGAGGAGGGAATCTTAGAATCGAAGGCTAGGTGGGGGATCCCTCGTCATGTTGAAATACTGCTGGTGGTGGGGGGACGACAAAGTCCATTTTGACCCCCCAGGGTATTGCACGTTCTACGCCTACCCCTTTATTGTCGGATACACGCTTCCTCTCCCTCCCTTGGTGGTAGATTTCTGCCGCTTTTACGAGGTATTCCCAGCGCAGCTTTCGCCGTACCTATACAAATTGCTCCTTATGCTGCTTAAGTTTGCGGAGCTTGCTGGTCGTGAGATCACTTTGGGCCATATGCTCAATATTTTCGCCCCTCAACTCATTCGTGGCACGATGATTCACATGCGCCACCAAGGGTCGAAGAGTCTGGTGGTGAAGATGGACGATAGGGCCAACCGTCGCTTTTACAAGAATTACTTTTATGTGCGGACCGAACACCTTGTGGCGGATCCTTCGGGGTTCCCTGAGAAATGGAACTTCGCTCGTAAGTTTCTATGCCTTTTGTCAGAATAATGCTTGACCACTTTTTATTTGGGCACTATTAAACTGTGTTTTTACAGCCGTGAAGCTACCTCCTGCACCTGTTGATGGCATCCGCGAGTGGGTGAGCGCCATCCTTCCTCATATGGCGGGCATCCGTACATGGTCGTCTTTCTATTAGAAATATGGACGTAAGCCCCTTACTGGTGAGTAATATTGTCTTTGTTCGCTACTCCTTCTCCTTCTCTTTTTACTTGGTTTCTTATATGATGTTTGTCGATGCCAGGAAGAGTGCGGAGAGTGAGGGCTCCTCCATTAGCTTTTCCTCAACCTGCCTCATCCGCTCGTCGTGCTTCGGCGTCTACTGCCCGCCCTTCATCGAGGGACGCTTCAGTCGAATCTACGGCTACGGTCGCACACGCGGAGGTCAACCCTCGACCCGAGAGGTCAGCCCCTGTCACCTCCCTAGTGAGGGAATCTTCCCGTGTCAAGGAAAGGGAGGAATCATCGAAGGCGATGAGTGGAGTTTGAGACAGCTCCTTCAGCTGTGATATATTTAGAAGAAGACCTTCCCTTGACGGGATCTGAGGTGAGAGTCGATGTCGTTCTGCCTATAGAGACGGTGCCAACTGTTGTGTCCGACCCATCGACGGAAGTTCGTGCCGTTGTGATTAATGTGCCACCGGCCGTGGCGGGGGATCAGATTTCTGAGGCCGCTGCTACTACTTTGGACGGGTCTTCGTCCTCGGTACCTGGTCGTGCTTCTTCTTCAACCACAGGAAGGGGAAAGGGTGTCGTGGTCGACGACTACGAATCTGAGTCTGATCTTGATCCTGACGATGTTAGGATGTTTGAAGAGGGTTTTACCCGTTCGGTGGTTCAGGCGGGTAGGGTCGTCCCGGTATTCT